ACAATGGAGACTTCAATACTGTCGTCATACTTTTCGGCCATTCGCAGGGCATGAAGGAAAGCCAACAACTCACCTCTGGCTGCCGATTGGTGACCAAAGACAAGGCCACAACCGATGACTTTCAACAAAGGACAGTGCAAAGATGACCCCATGTGTTCCGCCACAATCTGGATGTCATTGACAGAAACATTGGATACATCAGCAACCACTGCCCAACTTGCAAGGCGTGAGTCTGAGTCACCAGGGTTAATGGCACCACCGTCTGTGTAAAGTGTGATCTTCCTGAGAGCTTCCAATGTGGGGAGCTGAAAGTCATCCTTAATGGTTTTCAGGAATGCTCTTTGTACAACCGCGTCCGGACTGGAGTGAGCCAAGGGAACATAGACCCAGTCAGGGCGATCATTTTGTAAGACAGAGATGGCTTCCGGGTGACGGTTCCTCGCTTCTGCCAGTGACGGACATTCCAGACATCGATGGGAACGGCTATCATCCATCCCACACAATGGACAAGCAATGGGGGTATCATAGTCCCAAATCCTCTGAGTTGCTGCAGTCTGGAAACCACCCACAACGTTTCGAATTAAAATGCCCTGGTCATCGTTGGAAAAGGAAGAAAGGACTTGTGTCGTAAGCGAATGATGAGGAATGAACTCACCCGTTCCCTTGCGATTCAAATTTGAAATCAAGAAGTGGGGCCAGGCCTGTTTAAAAACTTTACAGATTCTGTCGCACGCCAAACTGACAGAGAAGTGTTCAGGACCAGTAAGAGACGCATCGTCATGGATCTGCCAGCCAAGGATGGACAAATATCTCTTAAGAGTGACCCTGGACCGAATGGTCTAGTGCCTTCAAAGCGGCAAGCCAATCTGACAATGCTCATGGCTTCTTCCGTGCAAATTGTCATAAGTCTACGGATTGACCGTAGTATTGACAAGATAACAAACAACAAGGGATCAAGCAAATGCTTGGAAAGAGAAAAACAAGCAAGCCAAGGAGATGCAAAATTACACTTTCCAATGAAAGCAAAAAGGGCAGCTGCCCTCAAAGCCTGAAAGTGTGTCATGCCTAAAAAGGCAGTGTCAGCCGAGTACAAGGCCATAGGCCAAATGGAAGCCTGAATCATGGCAGCCTTGGTTTGAACATCCAAGGGTAAAAACTTAAGGCGTTTGGCTCGGTTTTCAGCCTCAACGATTTTCTCTTTGACATTGCCCAACTGAATTGAGCCATTGTAATGGAACCTCTCCCCAAGATCTCAACCCGTATAGGCATAGGGATATCACCATCCGGGAACAGGGAAGAAAGGTCCAAACAGGCCGATCTGAACTCTTTGGTAATTGACCAATGCCAGCTCTTTTCAAAATCAATCTGGAGCCGGAGAGCGCCCGTGAAATTCAAGGTGTCTAGAAAAGCAGTCTTGTGGCTTTCGAAGTTAAAGGTCGACCAACCCCAATTATCTGCATAACCATGCGGTGATACAGCATCGTTGGCGATAGACCGGTGAAATGCAGAGGCCAAAGCAAGCATAGCCAAAACACTAAGGCTATCTCCTTCAGGGGCCCCTGTAGTAGATTCGATGGGCGAACCCAAATAGCCATGAAGATGAGGAAATCTCTCCATTCTCATCAAGGAAAAAAGCAAAAAATCACAAACCCACTGCGGAATACCAAGTCTGCGCCACAGGAAGACAATGGGCCAACGAGGAAAGGTATTGAAGGCCTTCTTCAAATCCAACGTAAATCCACCAAGCTGGGCTTTGTTCTGAATGGCAAGCTCAATGCGATGCTTCAATAGATAAGCAAGGTCTTTAACGCCTCGACCAGGCAACCCACCAGAGATTAACACAGGCACCTGGACCACTTGCTTAAAGATGACGCGACCTGTGAGCCGATAAATCACACCAAGCACAGTAATCGGACGAATGTGATGCAAGGACTTTGGGTCAGGAACCTTTGCCAGCAAAGTAGTTTTAGCCGCCATAAGGGACTTCGAGAGACCAAAGCGAGCCCCCTTAGCAAGGATGGTAGCAAGATCGCAAATACAGGACTCAGGCAATTTTTTGATCTCATCATACCTCCAACCATCAATGCCATGGGCTTTGCCGGATTTGAGACCACGGATAGCATCAATCCAAAGTGACACGGATTCCAAGTCAATGTGAATATCAGGAAATTGGGGAAAACCAGCCTGAGACATCTGATCAACAAATGACTGCCAGGAGGCACCCGACCGAGTCTCCTCTTCAGAATCACGCAACCAATGTTGTGCCCAAAATGTGTTGAAAGCATCCTGAATCTCACCTGTGGTCATGGCGCGACACTGTTGGCGCAAGATTCCTTTGGCAGGGACGGTACCAGACAACACAGTGAAGCGAATTTTGCCATCCGAGAATTCATGAAGATGAACCGTGGCATCCCCAAATGTGGCGTTGGAATTACATCTGAAATGTGAATCATCATGGATCCGAAGGAAAGAAAGACCTTTCGTAGATCGGGTAAGGCTGGCTACAGCTTCGACTTCATATGGGACCTCGTTCAAGGGAGGTGTCGATTTTCCACGAAGGATACGGTAAGACAAGCTGAGAAAGCCTTCGTCATGATCGACTTTAATGCGATGACGAAAGGAATCCTTCCTAGCAGACGCTTCCTGTCTGCAAAGCAAGTTGCAATGCATTTCAGTGATGTCGATACACAAATCCAAGACGGCCCAATCAGGTAGGGACAATGGAACAAAAGGAACAAGCTCAAAAGCCAAAATCCATGAGGACCATCTGCTACCAAAACCTTCGGCATTGAGGATCACGTTCCATTCCCTTTCGAGTTGATGGCGTTGCAACTCCACTTTGGTTGGGTGACCCGTTGCAGAAAAGGCTTTCAAAGCCCTACGGAAGGATTTTAAGCCTCCGCACCTGCCGTACAACCTGTCTGGATTTCACAGAAAAAACTTCAGACACAGGATTAAAAGCACCGGTAGGGTCATCACGGATGGTACTGTGATTGAAAGCTCGACAGGTCTTTTTGACATTGCATCTGCCCTTGTATTTGGGATGCAGGGACGGCCATGGGAAAACAACCGGGTTGAGTCGGTGGGATATCTGAATAGCCTTGTCAACTGCAAGTTCAACAGCTTGAGACCAAGCCAACAAAGCGGCTTCAGTTTGATGTTCATCAACAATCGTTTCAACATCAAACAAACTGGAAAAAGAAATGTGTTTGTAACACGTGTCAATTAAATCCTTGGGTGGAGCCAAAGCAGCCCACGAGCAAGGAGTGGACCATTTAAACGTGGTGGGAGTCTCACGACGAAAGTCAAGAAAAACAGCAAGTGGCACATGGGAATCAAACTGGTGGTCACTTTCCACACGCATGTCACAAATGTAGGGAACCAACCATGGATGGAAAATAACAGTATCATTCCTAGTGGAACCCAGACAAGTAGTGGGGAGATCCACATCCCTGGAAGACTTAAAATATGAGAAAGCTTCAACAGCACCAAGTTCGGCAAATAACGAAAAGGCAGGCAAACACTGTGGAGGGTCATTAAAGTCCCCTGCAACAATGAATGGCATATCAACTTGTTGAACCACATCAAAGACAGCCGCAAGAAAAACATCATTCATCCTGATGCCATGCTGATATCTGGTAGCAAAACCGTAAACCGACACAAGGAGAACATCAATTCCCTGCAAACGGACAACTGAGCAACAGATCCTACAGCTATCCCACAAGAACGGGGGAATAGACACCCTAGCCGCCCGGGAAGGGATTTTCGAAAAGATGGAAGTACCAATGGCTTCACCCCTGTAAGAGGGTCAAGAATCCAAGGTAATTTTTTTTGTTGGGAACCGGTTTCGACCAGAAACTTTAAAACCCAAACTTCATCAAGGAATCCGTCATTTCAGTTTGAACAACAGAAGTTGCCGAGGTTTCCAAAAAAATAACAACATCAGCACCCAAGGCCACAACTTCATCAGTCTTTTTGTGGACCGCAGTCGGGTTGGAAACTACAAGTTTGATAGGGGATCCCTCCAGGCTGTCTGGAGGACCAGGATGGGAAGCTTCACCAACGACCATGCCAAAAAATCTTGCAAAGAAATTATAGGACCGGATAACCCCACATGTTACCAACTTCTCTAGACTTAGACTGAGCATAGAAAAGCAAGAAGGGAAGAGGAAGTATAAGAGTGATGGAGGGGTGATGGTGGGTGAGTTTTTGTGTATGTGTGTATGTATGCGCATGCACAGGTGAGTGAATGAGTAAGTGAGTGAGTGAGCGAGCGAGTGAGTGAGTGAGTGAGTGCGTGCGTGCGTGGGTGGGTGGGTGGGTGAGTGAGTGAGTGAGTGATGGTGTGAGTGAGGTGGGTGAGTGAAGGTGAGTGGGTGAGTGAGTGAGTGAGTGAGTGGGTGAGTGAGTGGGTGGGTGAGTGAGTGAGTGAGTGTGAGTGAGGTGAGTGAGTGTGAGTGAGGAGGAGTGTGTGTGTGTGTGAGTGAGTGAGTGAGTGAGTGAGGGTGTGAAGGTGACTGGGTGTGAGTGAGTGATGGAGTGATTGAGTGAGTGATGTGAGTGCGTGAGTGGGTATGAGTGATTTCAGTGAATGAGTCAGTGATTCAAAAGAAGTAAAAGTGAATGAGTGAGTGTGAATGAGTGTGAGCACAGTGTCCCACACCTGCCACGCAAAAGCCACCAGCAATGCACATTGTCCCACGCCTGCCACGCAAAAGAGGCGGAGCCCGAGGGACGCCAGGGCGTACATCCGACCCCTTGGCAGTGCACATTGTCCCACGCCTGCCATGCAAAAGAGGCGGAGCCCGAGGGACGCCAGGGCGTACATCCGACCCCTTGGCAGCGCACATTGTCCCACGCCTGCCACGCAAAAGAGGCGGAGCCCGAGGGACGCCAGGGCGTACATCCGACCCCTTGGCAGCGCACATTGTCCCACGCCTGCCGCGCAAAAGAGGCGGAGCCCGAGGGACGCCAGGGCGTACATCCGACCCCTTGGCTGCTCACATTGTCCCACGCCTGCCACGCAAAAGACGCGGAGCCCGAGGGACGCCAGGGCGTACATCTGTCCCACGCCTGCCACGCAAAAGACGCGGAGCCCGAGGGACGCCAGGGCGTACATCCGACCCCTTGGCAGTGCACATTGTCCCACGCCTGCCACGCAAAAGACGCGGAGCCCGAGGGACACCAGGGCGTACATCCGACCCCTTGGCAGTGCACATTGTCCCACGCCTGCCACGCAAAAGACGCGGAGCCCGAGGGACACCAGCGCCTCTCAGACCCAACACAAAGTGAACTGTCAGGCGAAGTGTTCCGTCTTCAGCATGCTTGGCATAATCTTCAAGTTTGAAGTCAGGATTCATGGTTCCACTAAAGCCAACAGCACGGATATTGGGGGAGTCCCCGATCATCTGTCCAGCAAGAAGCCATGCATCAAGGAGTTTTTGAACCACCATGTCGTTTGGGAGCCAGCCCTTGAAAGCCAAGTGACCCCAAACCTTGATCTTGGTGTAAACAGTGTCCTGAGACTCAGGCAAACCCCTAGGCAAAGCCAGGACGACAAAGGATGCCTTCATGAACGTGACGAAGAAGTGCTGGTTGAGGACTTCAGTAGGCAAGGGCCTCGCTTCGGAACGCGTCTTCCGGCATCGCTTCGGAACGCGCTCTCATGCATCGCTTTCGAACGCGCCTCCTCACCACATCATCATCATCATCGTCGTCGTCATCATCATCATCATATCAAGTACAACAAGATATAAGCCCTAAAGGTGCCGTGGCTCTTCTTACATCAAGTGCAACAAGATATAAACCCTAAAGGTGTCGTGGCACTCCTTACATCAAGTACAATAAGACATAAACCCTAAAGGTGTCGTGGCTCTTCTTACATCAAGTGCCATAACATGTAAACCCTAAAGGTGTCGTGGCTCTTCTTACATGAAGTGCGACAACATGTAAACCCTAAAGGTGTCGTGGCAGTCCTTACATCAAGTGCAACAACATACAAACCCTAAAGGTGTCGTGGCAGTCCTTACATCAAGTGCAACAACATATAATCCCTAAAGGTGCCGTGGCTCTTCTTACATCAAGTACAACAAGATATAAGCCCTAAAGGTGCCGTGGCTCTTCTTACATCAAGTGCAACAAGATATAAACCCTAAAGGTGTCGTGGCACTCCTTACATCAAGTACAATAAGATATAAACCCTAAAGGTGTCGTGGCTCTTCTTACAGCAAGTGCCATAACATGTAAACCCTAAAGGTGTCGTGGCTCTTCTTACATGAAGTGCAACAACATGTAAACCCTAAAGGTGTCGTGGCAGTCGTTACATCAAGTGCAACAACATATAAACCCTCAAGGTGTCGTGGCAGTCCTTACATCAAGTGCAACAAGATATAAACCCTAAAGGTGCCGTTGCTCTTCTTACATCAAGTGCAACAAGATATAAACCCTAAAGGTGTCGTGGCTCTTCTTACATCAAGTGCAACAAGACATCAAGTGCAACAAGGTAAGAACCTCAAAGGTGTCCTGGCTCTTGTTACATGAATTGCAACAACATGAAAACCCTAAAGGTGTCGTGGCAGTCGTTACATCAAGTGCAACAACATATAAACCCTCAAGGTGTCGTGGCAGTCCTTACATCAAGTGCAACAAGATATAAGCCCTAAAGGTGCCGTGGCTCTTCTTACATCAAGTGCAACAAGATATAAACCCTAAAGGTGTCGTGGCTCTTCTTACATCAAGTGCAACAAGACATCAAGTGCAACAAGGTAAGAACCTCAAAGGTGTCCTGGCTCTTGTTACATGAATTGCAACAACATGAAAACCCTAAAGGTGTCGTGGCAATCCTTACATGAAGTGCAACAAGATGTAAACCCTAAAAGTGTCGCGCCTCTTCTTACATCTAGTGCAACAAGATATAAGCCCTAAAGGTGCCGTCGCTCTTCTTACATCAAGTGAAACAAGATATAAACCCTAAAGGTGTGGTGGCTCTTCTTAGATTAAATGCAACCAGATACAAACCCTAAAGGTGTCGTGGCTCTTCTTACATCAAGTGCAACAAGATGTAAACCCTAAAGGTGTCGTGGAAGACGTGGAAGTCCTTACATCAAGTGCAACAACATATAAACCCTAAAGGTGTCGTGGCAGTCCTCACATCAAGTGCAACAACATGTAAACCCTAAAGGTGTCGTGGCAGTCCTTACATCAAGTACAACAAGATATAAACCCTAAAGGTGTTGTGGCAGTCCTTACATCAAGTACAACAAGATATAAACCCTAAAGGTGTCGTGGCAGTCCTTAGATCAAGTGCAACAACATAAAACCCTAAAGGTATCGTGCCTTTTCTTACATCAAGTACAACAAGATATAAGCCCTAAAGGTGCCGTGGCTCTTCTTACATCAAGTGCAACAAGATATAAACCCTAAAGGTGTCGTGGCACTCCTTACATTAAGTACAACAAGATATAAACCCTAAAGGTGTCGTGGCTCTTCTTACATCAAGTGCCATAACATGTAAACCCTAAAGGTGTCGTGGCTCTTCTTACATGAAGTGCAACAACATGTAAACCCTAAAGGTGTCGTGGCAGTCGTTACATCAAGTGCAACAACATATAAACCCTCAAGGTGTCGTGGCAGTCCTTACATCAAGTGCAACAAGATATAAGCCCTAAAGGTGCCGTTGCTCTTCTTAGATCAAGTGCAACAAGATATAAACCCTAAAGGTGTCGTGGCTCTTCTTACATCAAGTGCAACAAGACATCAAGTGCAACAAGATAAGAACCTCAAAGGTGTCCTGGCTCTTGTTACATGAATTGCAACAACATGTAAACCCTAAAGGTGTCGTGGCACTCCTTACATGAAGTGCAACAAGATGTAAACCCTAAAAGTGTCGTGCCTCTTCTTACATCTAGTGCAACAAGAGATAAGCCCTAAAGGTGCCGTGGCTCTTCTTACATCAAGTGTAACAAGAGATAAACCCTCAAGGTGTCGTGGGACTCCTTACATCAAGTAGCACAAGATATAAACCCTAAAGGTGTCGTGGCTCTTCTTACATCAAGTGCAACAAGACATCAAGTGCAACAAGGTAAGAACCTCAAAGGTGTCCTGGCTCTTGTTACATGAATTGCAACAACATGAAAACCCTAAAGGTGTCGTGGCAGTCGTTACATCAAGTGCAACAACATATAAACCCTCAAGGTGTCGTGGCAGTCCTTACATCAAGTGCAACAAGAGATAAGCCCTAAAGGTGCCGTGGCTCTTCTTACATCAAGTGTAACAAGATATAAACCCTAAAGGTGTCGTGGCTCTTCTTACATCAAGTGCAACAAGACATCAAGTGCAACAAGGTAAGAACCTCAAAGGTGTCCTGGCTCTTGTTACATGAATTGCAACAACATGAAAACCCTAAAGGTGTCGTGGCAGTCGTTACATCAAGTGCAACAACATATAAACCCTCAAGGTGTCGTGGCAGTCCTTACATCAAGTGCAACAAGATATAAGCCCTAAAGGTGCCGTGGCTCTTCTTACATCAAGTGCAACAAGATATAAACCCTAAAGGTGTCGTGGCTCTTCTTACATCAAGTGCAACAAGACATCAAGTGCAACAAGGTAAGAACCTCAAAGGTGTCCTGGCTCTTGTTACATGAATTGCAACAACATGAAAACCCTAAAGGTGTCGTGGCAATCCTTACATGAAGTGCAACAAGATGTAAACCCTAAAAGTGTCGCGCCTCTTCTTACATCTAGTGCAACAAGATATAAGCCCTAAAGGTGCCGTCGCTCTTCTTACATCAAGTGAAACAAGATATAAACCCTAAAGGTGTGGTGGCTCTTCTTAGATTAAATGCAACCAGATACAAACCCTAAAGGTGTCGTGGCTCTTCTTACATCAAGTGCAACAAGATGTAAACCCTAAAGGTGTCGTGGAAGACGTGGAAGTCCTTACATCAAGTGCAACAACATATAAACCCTAAAGGTGTCGTGGCAGTCCTCACATCAAGTGCAACAACATGTAAACCCTAAAGGTGTCGTGGCAGTCCTTACATCAAGTACAACAAGATATAAACCCTAAAGGTGTTGTGGCAGTCCTTACATCAAGTACAACAAGATATAAACCCTAAAGGTGTCGTGGCAGTCCTTAGATCAAGTGCAACAACATAAAACCCTAAAGGTATCGTGCCTTTTCTTACATCAAGTACAACAAGATATAAGCCCTAAAGGTGCCGTGGCTCTTCTTACATCAAGTGCAACAAGATATAAACCCTAAAGGTGTCGTGGCACTCCTTACATTAAGTACAACAAGATATAAACCCTAAAGGTGTCGTGGCTCTTCTTACATCAAGTGCCATAACATGTAAACCCTAAAGGTGTCGTGGCTCTTCTTACATGAAGTGCAACAACATGTAAACCCTAAAGGTGTCGTGGCAGTCGTTACATCAAGTGCAACAACATATAAACCCTCAAGGTGTCGTGGCAGTCCTTACATCAAGTGCAACAAGATATAAGCCCTAAAGGTGCCGTTGCTCTTCTTACATCAAGTGCAACAAGATATAAACCCTAAAGGTGTCGTGGCTCTTCTTACATCAAGTGCAACAAGACATCAAGTGCAACAAGATAAGAACCTCAAAGGTGTCCTGGCTCTTGTTACATGAATTGCAACAACATGTAAACCCTAAAGGTGTCGTGGCACTCCTTACATGAAGTGCAACAAGATGTAAACCCTAAAAGTGTCGTGCCTCTTCTTACATCTAGTGCAACAAGAGATAAGCCCTAAAGGTGCCGTGGCTCTTCTTACATCAAGTGTAACAAGAGATAAACCCTCAAGGTGTCGTGGGACTCCTTACATCAAGTAGCACAAGATATAAACCCGAAAGGTGTGGTAGCTCTTCTTAGATTAAATGCAACCAGATATAACCCCTAAAGGTGTCGTGGCTCTTCTTACATGAAGTGCAACAACATGTAAACCCTCAACGACATGTAAACCCTAAAGGTGCTGTGGCTCTTCTTACATCAAGTGCAACAAGATGTAAACCCTAAAGGTGTCGTGGCTCTTATCACATGAAGTGCAACAACATGTAAACCCTAAAGGTGTCGTGGAAGTCCTTACAAGGTGCAACAACATATAAACCCTAAAGGTGTCGTGGCAGTCCTTACATCAAGTGCAACAACATGTAAACCCTAAAGGTGTCGTGGCAGTCCTTACATCAAGTGCAACAACATATAAATCGTAAAGGTCTCGTTGCTCTTCTTACATCAAGTACAACAAGGCTTTTGTTTCATATATTCACCTTCATTTTCTGTGGCAGGCGTGGGGCCTTTTGACATCGACCTTCATTTTGCGTGGCAGGTGTGGCACTTTTGTACATCGACTGTCCTTTTACGTGGCAGGCGTGGGACTGTATGACATGGTTGAAACGAGTCAAATTCTCATACGAGGAGTTTTTTTGTGTTGGTCTCGCTTTGGAACGCGTTTTTCTTCCAAAGTCTCGCGCCTGTCAGTAAATCTGATGTGTGTGTGTGTATGGCGGGGTTTCCATGAGATGTTTGATTTTGTGTTCTAAAGTGATGCAAAATGGCTGTGTTCTAAAGTGATGCCTGAGAGTGTGTTCCAAAGTGATCCTTTTACCCTTCAGTATGAGGGATGAGCAGGACGCGTCCTCTCACTGGGTTTGCAAACTCAAGGAATTGAACCGTGACGATCCACCCCATTTTGGCCATGACCACATCAAGCTTGGAAAGTTGAAGAATGTGGATGAGGCGAAGCAAGACTGAAAAGGTTCCATCCCAAAAGATGAGGTGTCCCTCAAGTGACATGCGAAGCTCAGCAACACCTGTCATTTCAACATCCCAGTCTACACCTTGTGTTTTCATCCAATTGTCAAGGGCAACCATCAACGCACGCTCAAAGTTGTCATGCACAAGATCAAACACCTCACGAAAAGAGGAGGCAACATGGCGATCATCAGGGGCTGATTCTGACGACTCAGACGACTCTGATTCATTCTCAGCTGGAGACAGAGGTGCTGTCCTGAGTCTCGGTGGCAAGGGTGGTGTCGGCGGTTGAGGAGGAGTACCTGGCACACTTGGGGGAGTGGGAGGCCTATCGTGAATGTTTGGCATCGGGGGTGGGGATGGCAACTTTCTTTTCACACCAGATGCAGCACCTTCAACAGGGTTCTCACCAGGAGTCAACGCACCTGTATGAACATCCTGCGGTGAGAGAAATTGGGATATCGGGCGCTCAAAGTTGGCATTGTGCCCATGGATGATGAAACGAATGTCCCAATCCAAGCCAAACGTCAGCATGACATCTTTCCAAATCTGGCGGACGGTGGAGAAATCACTATCAGGATCCCACAGACCTTCCCAAATCCAAGACGACCAAAACTTGATCCGGACACGGATGACAGGTCTGGGGCCAACAGAGTCACGAATTCCCAGAAAAGAAATAAAGATGCGAATGGCAACACAGTACACAACATCTGTAGCCTCAATTGCGAGCCGGTTAGGGCTTTTCATCAACTGGAGAACATTGAAGCGGTCGTCCTCCCAGGCACTGACTGGAACAACAAGTGTCCACCCCATACTCATCAACATGTCCAGGATGCCAGTGTGTTGGAAAAGCCTGGCAAAGGGAGCAAGGTCGGCATAAAAACCACGAATGGCGGTCGTGAGCCCACTGGATTCAACTTCCAAATTGATCAAGCCAGAAAAATCAGCAGGGGCAATCCCTGGTGTTGACAAGACAACCACTGCATCAGGGCAAACGTCTCCATGATCCAGGCGAAACCCAAGAATGTCTGTGCAGAACAAGGGTCGTTGTTCAAATTCAAAGGCAAGCACATCACCAACGCACATATTGACTTTTCTGGCAATGATCACGGTCCCAAATGTGCAAAGGGCGACAACAAACTTGGAATCATCACTCAAGCTCCCAAACATCATAGTCGGCATGAGCAGACAAGTTTGCACAGATGCGAACAAGGTAACCTGTTCCTGTTGCATCAACAGGTTTGGGTGCAGAGGAACTTTGTGTTCCAATTTGCCGGCAGGTACCAAAAAGATGTCAGCCGGTATTGATGCTCCCATGAGTTTGCGGAGAACATCACAGATGTTGAGTCCAACCTGAATGTGTAGTCGCGCCTCATCAACAGGTGACTTCAAGACAAGCTGTTCACACGCATGCATGGGCAACGTGGCTGCAATTTGTGAATGAGACAGCATGAATCCACCTGCAACCTCTTGAATGATGAGAGTCGAGGCCCTAAGCCGAGAATCCACCAGTTTCGCAAAGGTTTCACAAATCTCAACATGGGTGAGGTCAGTAAGAAAAGCCATGGCATTCAAAATGGCAATTCCGGCATGAACCGAGCTAATTGAGTTACCCAAGATGGCAATCGCTTCCTTCCTCTGTGCTGGGAGAAAACAAGACCCAAGTGGCATCTGCAGCAAGGCAACCTCAACAGTGCTGCAAAATCTAAGACCCGATGGTAACGCCAGGATGGCTCCATACAATCCACCTTGTTGGATCGTGTGACCTGGAAGCTCATGACCAAAACCATAATTGGCCATCACACAACTCATCTGGTCCTGTGGAGATCTCAGACGATACCTCATCATGTCGACCTTGTTCTTCTTCAGCTGTCTCTGACCTGAGCCAGATTTGGGCAAGTTGGAAGGATCCAAGTACATGCGAAGCACTTCTTCAGAGGGAGTGCATTCCTCCAGCCAATGACCAGAGACCTGGGTAAGGACGTCAAACTGTTGCAAAGAAGGTGGGCCAACCGTTGGCCAGGGGACACAAATGTGATTGCCAATGGAAGCATCACCTGTCCTAGTGGCGATCATGATAAGCCTCTCCATCTTTTGAGGTGCGATTTCGGCCATGTCCAAGCATTTTGCCCACCTGAGATCGAAGCCCCAAAACACAAGCCATTCCAGGATCACCTTCCAATGTTCATGCTGAACCAAGCCGGACACATTTTCCAAGCAAAAGACTTTGCAACCCAGGAGTGCCATGAAAGCAATGGCTGCAGGTGTCAAGACACCATCTTTGCGCCTGAGACCTGGAGGTGAAGCCGCGGCCTTACTCCATGGAGGGCAAGGAGGTGAGCAAACACCAAGATCAAGTCTATGCCTTCCCGTGAGATGTATCCACGAAAATTCCATGACGTCAGATTCAACAACACGCAAGCAAGGCAAGTTGTCATTGTCGTCAAGCTGGGCAGGCGTTCCAGGCAACATGCAAGTGCCCCCAAAAGATTTCTGATAAGCAACAATGTATTCATGGTCAACATCCAATATCCAATGCCAAGCAAGTCACAAGAGGAAACTCAAGCTCATGCAGGAAATGAGTAACATGGGTCCATCCCGAGAAGCCCCCACAAAAAAGCTCAATCGACCTGTGAAGGCCGTCATCCCAATCCAATCGGCACTCAGGAGTGGGAACAATTCCACCCCCATGAGCAGAAACATCAAGGAGATCTCCAACCAAAAAGGCTTGAAAGCAAATGACCGACAATGCACCACGCACAGCACAAGTCCATTGTTCCATGTTGAGTCTAAGCAAAAACCTGTCAGTGATGTCGTGAGCACAACGACCATGTGTCAAGGCAAGGGTCCTGAACTTCTCACGCACCAAGCCATGCAACGGATCAAGTCGACCAACCAACATAACCTCATGAGAGGACATCGACACCACGCTCAAGTCAGTCAAGATGCAGGTAACCCTGTAGTGGCAAGGGCATGCAACTGGTGATGGGCAAAGGTACTTCCAAGTCTGGAAAAAAGGACCTTGTGAGAACTCCATGGCTCAATTAGTGGGAAACCAACCCGCCCACGTTACTTCGCGGAAGTTTGAGCCTCAAGGCTAACCAATTTTTGACCAACTTGACCAAGTTGGTCAATTTTTAACCAACTTGACCAGCTTTAAACCGACTTGACCAACTTGACCAATTTTTGACCAACTTGACCAACTCTTGACCGACTTGACCAACTTAACCAATTTTTGACCAACTTGACCAAGTTGGTCATTTTTTGACCAGCTTGACCATCTTTTCACCAACTTGACCAACCCCTGACCAATTTGACGAGCTCAACCAACGCAAGGGCACAAGAAGTGCTTGCAGCCAAATTTAGACCACTCAGAAATAGTTTTGCTGGTCAAATGTTCAAAAACTACCAAGAACAACAATTGTTAATGGTCTAAATTTGGCTGCAAGCACTTCTTGTGTCCTTGAGTTGGTTGAGTTAGTCAGATGGAATTTCCGACCAATTTTTGACCAACTTGACCAACTTGACCATTTTTGAACAACTTTTCACCAACTTGACCAATTTTTGACCAGCTTGACCAAGTTGGTCACTTTTTGACCAACTTGACCAACTTTTGACCAACTTGACCAATTCTTGACCAATTTGACCAAGTTTTGACGGAATTCAGCGCGAGCGTCGCTTCGCATCACATCATCCCTTCCCGAAGGGGGTACGGGTACGATGTGAACTAAAGGAGGGTGAACCGCAAAGCTGTACAGCGAGGAACAACCCAAGCCAACTGCAAGTCAAGCTAATTGAGAGCCAACGGCAAGACCAAGGCTAATTCGCGGCAGGACTGTTGTTACGACGGTCACGGGCTTTCTGTTTGTATCGGCGGGTAACGATACGTTGCCAGACCTGATGTCTCTGTGCAATGGGGAGTTCTTGCAATGGCCCAACTTTGAAAGGTACCGGAGTCTTGAGCAAATTCAACGGAAGGTAGAAAGAGTCAGCTCCGCCCAAGCGAGAGATGTAGGAAAAAACGGCCTGGCAAGTTTCAGACGGGTTTGGAAGACTGGGACGGCAAGGCATACCAGCAAAAGTACCAGAATAAATTGAAATGACAGAGCGACGAACACTTCTTCGAAGTAAACGCAGGAATGATATCAACCAACGTGATGGTTTTGATGGCCAAAATGGCCTGCTGAAAGGTAAAGTAAATCCTTGAGGCAGCACGGGTCGACGAGGGCAACGCCAGTCCCAAAAGATGGCATTGGCTTTCTGACCACCTGTCTTGACAGGGGGATACGTATTGCTAAAAAGGATGAAACTGAAAAGCATCTCAAGCCAAGAGATACCCCAGTCATTTTTACGAGAGTAATCTTTGGAAACATCCGGGCGCCAATGACAAGCGGCAAGCCATCTCACCACTGCCGCAGTAAAATTGGTGCCCTGCAGAATGCCCTTGAAAGTCTCCTGGTCGACAATTGCGTGATTAAACAGGGAACATAGTCTGGCGGGGAAAACTCTTTCAAGAAGTCCAGAGCTTCCTGTCCCATTGCCCGGGATGGCATGAGCGAAGGTTCTTGACTATCAGATTGACGATGAGGTTGACCCACAATGTTGTCAGTTTGCTGCAGCATCCTGATTCGGGTCTTGTTCAAATCAGCGAGGTATCGAAAAACCTTTTCAAGCCGTGTGGATTCGGACAGATGAAAGGCGGCGAGATCCGAAAAAAGAGTTGATCTGGATACTCCTCGGCACATTCCTCAAGGCTGCAGACGCAGCGAAGTCAGCAGCGTAATTGCCATAGAGCGTCCACAAGTCATGCCAGTCCTGAGCCTCGTCAATCGACCTATGGCTTTTGGTTTTCATGACTTTAATTCTCGGGTGCCACACCTCTTTGATATCTTGAATGATATCGGCATTTTTGACCCTGTGATCTGGAAAATTTGGTAACTGACGACACCGCGCAAAGTCTACAAAGCAGACATAGGAAGCATCAGCATCAGTCACAACAGAGATTTGAACAGAGTTATTGTACTTCTGGGCTGCTATCAGAGCTTTAAGGAAGGCAATGAGCTCACCTCTAGCAGCCGATTGATGTCCATACACCAACCCACACCCAACCACACGGATGAGCGGACAGAGCATTGACTGGCCCATGAACTCAGAGATGTTCTGGATGTCTTGTTCCGAAACGCATGAAACATCAGACACCACTGCCCAGCTTGCCAAACGTGCAACGGGATCAGTGGGGTGAATGGCACCCCCATCTGTGTAAAAAGTGACTTGGACATCTGCATCAAAATGAACCAAGTGATGTCTTTTTGGCAATGGTCTTGACAAACAACCTTTGGAGCAAAACTTCAGGTGAGGTCTGCGCAATGGGAATGTACACCCAATCAGGACGCTCAAAGCGCAAAATATCAATAGCTTCAGGCTGATTATTTCGGACGTCAGACAACTTAGGGCCTAGGGCCATCAAGACATCTGTGGGATCTGTCATCATCCAACCCACACAATGGGCATGCAATGGGTGTATCCGGATCCCAAATTTTCTGTGTTGCAGCAGTCTGAAACCCTCCCACAATATTACGCACCAACAAGGCCTGCTCATCGGGAGCAAATTTCGACAAGACCCGAGGGGTGAGAGAGTGATGAGGGACCGAGTTACCAGTACCTTTCCGGGACAAATTGGACACCAGGAAAATGGGCCAAGCTTAGCGAAAGGTCAGGCAGATTTTTTCGATGGAGTCATCAAACTGACACTAAAATAGTCCGGGCCTACAAGTGTGGCATCAGGATGAATGTCCCAACCCAAAATGTTGAGATACCGCTTAAAAGTTGATGCCGGGCCATAAGGGGGGGGAACCACCAAAGCCAACAGCCAGGTGGATGATCCTGTAGGCAGTGTCCTTACACAGGGTGAACAGACGCTTGATAGATCTCAAAATGGACAAAAAACAACATGCAGCAAGGGATCAACTAGAAACTTAGACAGCGCAAAACAAGCCAGCCAAGGCGATGCAAAGTTGCATTTGCCAACGAATGCAAGGAGAGCAGCGGACCTGAGGGTCTGAAAGTGAACCATGCCAAGGAAGGCAGTATCTGCCGAATACAAAGCCATAGGCCACACCGATGCCTGGATGAGCGAAGCCTTGGTTTGGATATCAAGTGGCAGCGACTTTATTCTTTTTGCGCGGGCTTCAGCCTCAGCGATTTTTCTTTGACATTGCCAAGCTGAATGGTTTTACCAGAATGGAACCGCTCACCCAAGTCCTTGACATGAGATTCCACACGGATAGGAATATCTCCAGACGGGAACAAATGAGCCAAATCAAGGCATGCATTCCTGAACTCTTAAAATCAATCTCAAGCCTGAGAGAAGAAGAAAAATTGAGAACCGAAGCAAAGGCCATGCGGTGACAACCAAAATTGAAAGTCGACCAACCCCAGTTGTCAGCATAACCATGAGGAGTAACACTATCATTGGCGACCGACCAATGAAAAGCAGTTGCCAAAGCAAGCATTGCCAACACACTCAAGCTATCCCCCTCAGGGGCACCAGTCGTAGAAGCAATAGGTGGACCAAGCATGCCATGCAAGTGGGGGAATCTTTCCATCCGCATAAGGGGGTGCAACCAGAAATCACAAACCCATTGCGGGATACCCAAACGTCTCCATAAGAAGATAACTGGCCACCGCGGAAAGGTTTTGAAGGCCTTCTTCAGGTCAAGAGAAGCCGCCAAGTTGAGCTTTGGCTTGGATTGCCTGTTCAATGCGAAACTTGAGCATAAAAGCAAGGTCTTTGACGCCTCTCCCAGGTAAACCACCGGAGATGAGCAATGGCAAAGATGATTTCCAAGCCGCAACAACTTGTTTGAAGATAGCTCTACCGGTCAAACGGTAAATGACCCCCAACACAGTGATAGGACGTATATGGTGAAGAGATTTTGGATCAGGGTTCTTGGCAAGCAAGGTCGTTTTGGCTACCATGAGAGCCTTCGACAAACCAAATGTGGCCCCCTTAGCAAGGATGGCAGCAAGGTCACGAATACATGCTTCAGGAAGTTTTTTTAATCTCTTCATAACGCCAGCCATCAACACCATGGGCTTTGCCAGACTTGAGCCCCTGGATGGCCTTCATCCAGAGGGCCGTAGACTAAAGGGTTACATGAATGTCAGGGTATTGGGGGAAGCCAGACGACTGTTCAACCTGATCGACAAAAGACTTCCAAGCCTCGTCAGATTCAGTCTCACACACCTGATCACGCAACCAGTATTTGGACCAAAAGGCATTAAAAGCCCCATGAATTTCCCCCGTTGTCATAGCAATGCTCTCTTGACAGATAGTGCCAGAGGATGGCACTTGGCCAGATTGAACAGTGAAAAAGACATTTTCCTCAGCCTGACCA